AAATGGCGCTTACAGTGTAATGCTTCTCAGGTACGGAAATATTATTTGAGTTTAACTTCAAAAATCAAAGTCAAAATATAAAAAAAAATATTCTGTAAAATAAATATACATTTGAAAAAGTAATTTTTTAAGCTACTGCTCATTTATTGAATGACTGTAATACTTTTGAAATGGTGTCATAATAATCTCAGTACAGAGTACTAAAAAAACCGACCTCAAAAGTTCGTGGAATTACATCATTTGCCAAGTTTTATTGGAATCGGTTACCGGAAAGTGCGCGAAACCGGATTCCTCCCCTAGTTTGCCACCCTTACAGGTGGAATATTTTCTTCAAATTTAAAGAGGACCAATACTGAGATACCCTCTTTAAAACAAAAAAAGAATCATCAAAATCGGTTCATAAATGTGGCTCGGAGTTATCGCGTAACATGCATACAAAAAAATATAAACGAATGCAGAACCTCCTTTATTTAAAGTCGGTTAAAAACAACGAAATTCATAAGTTGCCAGTTAAGTTAGTGCCTGCGGCATATCTTAACATGTTCAGACATGTTTGAAGATACAGACTGTATCCATGAAATTGCATATAAAATATTTCAAAAACATGTAGAATGAAAAATATAAATTGTGTTATGCTACAGTAGAATTTAATATTACGCAATATAATACAGCTAAGGGCACCTCAAGTTTGACAATTTGTAATTTGAACTGTTCTTATTGTAAAAGCCATAGAGTTGAATTTAAATCATTGATGTCAAGATTAACAGGTTCTTGAGCCGGTACCATCATATATAACAACACTGGACACATAATTCGAGCCACTTAGTGTTTTTATTATTAAATGACTTGAATACAAAATATTGTTACAATAGAAGAAAAAGTTTTCTTCAGTTTTTCAACAAAGATTTATTGAAACCCATTTCAAAATTCGTAGGTTTTCACAATTGTTATATAAAGGAAATGAAACTATTTATTTCAGATGTAAATTGTTTAAATTTGTTTATTCAAACTAACCAACATTTTGGACCCTTTACAAGTCCCATTGTCGCGGCTGACTGAGATGGTAAAGTCATCACCATTTATGACTAATATTAATGCAAACCACTTATATCAAACATAGTTAATGAATCAAACATTGTCTATACTTAGGGCTTATTCAATACTGAAACTGCAAGGTGGCTTGCATTATGTTGCATCATATTGTTTTTTTTTTCCAATTAAAAAAAAAATTCTGGAGAATGGCTCAGTTTCTCACGACTTAATTAAAACATAAATTGAGTTTTAAAATAGCGTGGAAATATTTTAAAACAGTTGTAAAATCTTAGGTTTTAGATTGTGAGCTCGCCACCTTCCTTTAAATATGTTCTATCACCTAATAAAAGAGCAGAGAATGTAACTTTTGTAACGAACTTGAAGACATGCCACATTTGATAGAGTGTGGCCATTATGTGCCTATAAGAAGCCAATTTCAATTTGGGTAGTTAAATGTTGTGTTGGCTGACCTGTTGGTGAAGAGGGCTAAATTCTGTACTCATTTGTGAGGTTCCCACACACATGAGGCCTCCCACTATGAGGCGACATGATAGAGGAGAATAATCCACAGGGATGGACATCACAAGGTCGACATTGACACTCAAGTGTTACAGGCTTTATTAAAAATAAGATTTAATAAAATATATATATACTATTTGACAAGCTACGTAATGTTATCATTTTATATAACATTACATGCATCACAAGTCAACCAGGTGAAATTGTCAGGTTTTATTTTATTCAATAAGGCTTACCAACTAAATACATACAGATACGTTAAATATAAAAACGAAACATTCAAAACTAGTATTATGTATGCAATTAAATTAAAGGCATGCACTGCATTACATAAAGGTATTATTTTGGAAACACGAGAGTATGCCCAGTCTGTCTATACATAATAATATGTATAACTAGATCAAATCAAAAGGTTTGTAATTATGGAGCCTAGCTGACATTCTAGGCACTTTTAAGTTTATTTGGGATAGAAGGGACGGACACAAAGAACGGACAGATTTGTAATACAAGACGGATAGTTAAAAAACGCATACCATTTTAATTATCAAAAAAGTAGTGATAAGGCTTGAAAAGCTGACAGACTGCTCTATCAATTCATGTAGTCTCCTAATTTGCTATACTCGGTCCTTTTTTTAGGTATTTAATGAGTGTCAGGAATGACTTTAGGAACATTATGTGATGCATACATGCCTTCAGTGACTACGTTGTGGCGTGATTCGTTTAGCATATCGTTTACGCGTTACAGAATTTACAGATCAAACTTCGGAGTGAAAATATACAAGCACGTGTTTACATTCTACAAAATTTTCTCGACACCGAAGTGTTGCCGAGAAAACACAATAAATCAGTTAAAAATAACGCTAGAACGTGATACACGCGATGTACAAGAATTTTATGAAATATTTTTAGCAATGACGCCCGATAAATTATATTAAAATGATTGTTAGATTGTAGTTGACCCAAAACGCAGGTGACTCACCAAATGTTTTAAATTCCAACGATGTTAGCGGGAAGTCGACCCATTATCGCTTGGCACAATGAAACCAAATCTACAGGAGATCCGATAGTCACTCACGAAATCTTCGACATTCCACAGCTTTCGTACGACACATATCGAACACGACTGTAGCTGTAACTGCACTAGAACACTAAAGGTCGGCACGACACCTTGTTATTATGAGAAATATGCACTTGTTCACACAAAAACTGATACAATTTCACGCATAAATGCCATTCTCGGTTGCTACTTCGTTCGACCGACCGACAGACAGCGGGGTAAAAGGGTGCGGGGGCGGAGACGAGCGGGCGGCGCGGCAGGCGCAGCAAGCGACCGAACGACAATCGCTGATTAGGGTGGTCATCTAACATATTGAAATTTTACCAAATTTGATTTTTCTTTGATTTTTATTTTAATAAATAATGTACCTATATTCTTTGTGATAGTTTTTTTTCTCATTTCTTTTGGCTGTTAGTTTGTTAAGTATTTCCTCCCACGATCGGGATGCTTTCGTCAGCCACTCGGAGATCAAGAGGTTAATTATTTTATTTTTTCGTTATAAAACCACTTTTAAAATGTGACTGTGAATACTTCAGACGTTCACTCCAAGCCATAGAATGCCTTGTAATCTGATGAGTCGATACTAACTACGTACTACTACGGCTCATTTTGCTTGAGTCGAGCGGCAGGGACACTTCACACAGTATAGTAATCAGTGTTAATTAGCATCAATGTTATTATATATTTTTTCCAAAGTGATTCAACACATTTACTGTTATTCGGAATTAACCAAAGCCACTTGAGGTTTTATAGACTCTTAAAGAAAAAAACTATTAAGATTAAAATTGTTATGTTGAATTCGTTGAATTAATAAATCTCGACATTGCACGTACCTAATCGTATTTTATTTGCATAATAAGTTTGTACATCTAATTAATTTCTATTACTATTAATTTCTGGCAGGGTTTTTCTTATTAGATCTATATTGTTAGTTCATCTCTCTGATTATAACTTAAAATTCCAGTAAATCCATGAATTTTTGTAATTGAACAAGGTTTGAACAGTCAGGTCAAATGTTAAATAATTTTTACTTGCATTCTGTTTACATTCTCAGCAAACGTAATAGATGGTTAAATTTTGAATTTCTTAATTCTTTATTATATTTTTAAACTATGTATTTATAATAAATAATGAAAACTCGAGATGTGGGAAATATGAACTTTACTTTCCCCAAATTTGGGGATTTTAATCGTGATTTTTAGGGATTTTGAACAATCGGCATTGGCAACGCTGGTCTCCAATCGATCAAACGTCAAAAATATCAACAGTTCGCAGTACTTTGCACGTTTCTGTATTATTTTGTTTTGAAAAATGTCGCGAGATAAAAGCGTGTGGTTTGCGGAAGAGATTCTGTTGGACGCTAAGCTAATTAACTTTCAATTAGAGTCGGGAGAATGGGATGCCGTCGAAGAGATGTTGCGAGCGGAAGCTCAGCTTTCCAGAGACGCTGAAACTGGACGTTTACGACCGTAACTTTCTATTATTTCAATTCTTAAATTATTAGCGCATTTATATTTTTCAGCAAAGATTAATTAAAAAGTATTGTAAACTTTTTATTCCAGTAAAAAAGCATCAGAATATACGTTGCGTCTTATAGCAGAAGTTTTGCATATAATGAGACTGGATGTAGAGCAAGCGTCGTATAATAGAAGCACCATGGCGGTTGCAGAACAGTGCCTTAGATTGGTCCGCTCGTGCGCTGCAGCTGGTACCAAAATACAAACTTATGTTTCAAAAGAACTGTCCATTCTAGAATCAATGCTCGTCCTAGCTACAGAGTACCAGCATCCGAGTGTAGAACTACTGAATGAGGAAATACAAAAGAAATTTGAGTCCTGCATGACGGTTCTTGTTCAAACACTAGGAAACTTGGTTGTCAACAATCCCTTTAATCAAATTATGATTTGGAACAAGTTTGATGCTATAATTTTAAATTGTTTAGTTGGACAGAATGATAAAATTGCATCCGCTGCAGCTATGGTTGTCTACAACATTCTTTTAGGACAACCAAACGTGTTACCTGATGATGTTACACTGTTAAACTCACTGGCATACATGTATAACAACGGTAACACAGAATACCCGCACTTAATTATAGAATACCTGATTGGTGTAGAAAACACTTACATTGAAAGGTTGTATTCAAAACTTGACCCTGAATGCCGCATGTTAGTATTGAACTTAGCTTATAACATACTCATGTCAACAGAGTCACAAGATATAAATGTATCCGTGAATTTTGTAAAATTCATGGCACATGAATTTAAGAGTAAATCAGATTGCATTTTGAAGACTGTGGACAAGTACGTGAATACTATAGAGCCTCAAGAAGTTGTCTTTTTGTTGGAAATTGTTGCTACAGCATCAAGTATGGATGCTTATATGGACTGTTTGCAGAGTGATACTTCTCTGTTTATAAATTGTGCTTGTAAGTATTAAATTGGTTAATACTCCTTGAAAGGCTGATAGGTAAACATGAATCTAGATAAGCACACAATGATCTAGTTCCAAACTGCCTCCATGGCCGAACGGTTACCATGCTGCACTACCAAGCAGAAGTCCAGGTCCGATTCCCGGGCTGGGAGAAATATTCATATGGCCTACATTTATTTCTTTCGTGAGTTTGGGTATGGGTATAATTTGTGGTTGTCTATGTGTGTGTCTACGGCACCCGCGACACAGGGTTTCCCTAGTGCAGGGTTATGTTGAGTATGTGCATTATTATTATTATTAAATTACATATTATATGAGTACAAAGGTGTGACTTGTTACAAGCTTTTATATTCATAGATTAAACAAGAAGTCAAGTCAAGTCATCAAATCAAATCAAAAGTCAAATATACTGCCTTGTAATCTCAGTGTGAACAATTCTTTACAATCTAGTTCTCCTCCGTGCCATCCACAAGCTGGGCAAAGAAAGTGACAACTTCTTCTCATCCTTGAACAAGCTGTACGCGGCCACCGGTAGACAGCTGATCAATGATGAAAATGTGCAATCTTCCATCACTTCTACTGAAAGTAAGATATATTTATATTAAAAAGTACATATAAGGTCTAACTTGAATGAGTGAAAACTGCCAGCAATATCCACTTTTAAGCATAAACATGCCTAGAAATTATTATGCCATGAGCGAATACAATTTCATATCTAAAATTAACCAGTATTTGCTTTTTGTTTGAGTTTCAAGGGAGAAGATTATTAATGAATTGAGTTGATTCTAATAATGTCTATTGTGAAATGAACTGTTGGTGATTTACAAATGAAATTCCATAACTTTATTTTCAAATCAAAGTTTTATTTACTTCATATTTTCCAGACACACTGACCAAAAACGATTCCGCAGACAACATGCTCTCCTGCAATGAAACAACATCTGAATGCACGGAATCCGAAAGCAGTGAACAATATTTTGAGTGCAATGAAAACCCTGTCTATTTGGACAGACTAGAAACAATGAACACAATAGAAACATTACAACAACCACTCAAATTCATTGAAACTGTACCTGAGAGTCGAGGTAACAGTTCTGAGCGCACTAATGTTAAAATAGACAATGATCTGACAAAGGTAGCATTTAAAAGAAGCAGTTCTGTGCCAAAAGCCGACGATAGAGTCCCATTGCCAATACGACGCATCAGTCTTGAGCATAAGATAGACATAGGGGAGGATAATGAGCCACCTTTGATTTTAGATTCTACATCACCAAGTGGTAGTATGAATACCATAGCTGAAGTCATACCAGTTGCTTTACAACCAAGATTGGAATTACAAGGATCGAGTTGTACAGAGTCTCAAGACAGTTCTCCAAATGATCCTCCCACTGAAATTCATTTGCCTAAAGAAGAGGTTAAGGAAGTGAAAGCATCGCCTAGTGAAATATCTCCTCCCTTAGCTGATGTTCCAACTGAAACCGAATCACAAAAACAATCCCCTGATACGCCTAAGGAAATAAAAAAAAGTCAAAACTTATCGACAGATTTTGATTTAAGTGAGCAATTACAAAAGATTTTAGGTATATCATCGGAGAAGACTCGTAATGAGATAGAAAAGAAGAGTGAACCAGTGAAGGAAGTGAAAATTAATGATGATACAGTTATAAACAAGGTACCATCTGTGAAAATTGATTCACCTGAAAGCCAGAAAACAAGGTAAGCATAATATTATTATTAGGGTTTGTTTGTTTAGGACGTGTTGATCATTACAACTAAGAATTGATCTATTAAATAATACATCAATATTATTATTATATTCTACATTACATTTGTTGGTCTTATCCCAAGCTAACTAACTAAAGCCATCAACTAAATGCATAAGTCTTGTAACATAACAAAATGTGTGAGTAGGTACAAAAAATAGAATTACTAGAAATAATTATTTGTCAATCTATAATTATACATCGATCGAGATTTGGGCGGTGCTACAGTCTCTACAACGGTGCCACAGTGACTATCGATATATCGAAATGTTGAAGTGTTTGTACAGAAACACCACTATGTCAGTTCGACTACAGAACCAGTGCACAAGGCCTATCCAATTGCAAAGAGGAGTGTGAGAGGAAGACGTCATTTTTCCGAAACTGTTCACCAATGTATTGGAAGATGCCTTCAAGTTACTGAACTGGAAAGGACTCGACATCAACATCAATGGCGAGTACATCACTCACCTTCGATTGGAAGAGCTTGGCACCATGCTCGGTGACCTCAATAGAGTTTCCCAGCAGGTGGGTCTAAAAATGAACAGGACAAGACGAAAAATATGTCGAATGTCCATGTCGTACCCACCCCTGTAACAGTGGGAACCTTTACTCTCGAAGTTGTTGACGAGTATGTCTACCTTGGACACACCGTCCAATTAGGCAGGGCCAACTTCGAGGAAGATCGGGAAGCTCCGGGACGTCTTCTCATCCGCAATACCGCAGTCCTTGAAGACAAAAGTCTTCGAGCAGTGCATGTTGCCAGCGATGACCTATGGGCCTCATAAAAAAACTCAAAGTCACTCAACGAGCTATGGAGCGAGCAATGCTCGGCATTTCTCTACGTGATCGAATCAGAAATGACGAGATCATTAGAAGAACGAATGTCACCGACATAGCTCGAAGGATTAGCAAGTTGAAGTGGCAGTGGCAGGGCACATAGCTCGTAGAACTGACGGCCGTTGGGGCAGAAAGGTTCTTGAATGGAGACCGCGAGCCGGAAGGCGCTCAGTGCCATCCACCAACTGTGAAGCTAGGTAGCCTAAAGTTGGTAAATACCAAATCTAAGTTACAAAAAACTTTTTTCAGTCAACTTTTCTAATTAATGTAAATAAATAGTAAATTATAACAATACTAATACAAAATCATAATTAAAAAAATAGGTAAATAAGCAATCGAGAATATAGAATATAGAACAGAATATTTTTTTAAATATTTTTAGATGATTTAGCATTATTTCTATTATTAATTTCTTAAATATGGCGAGAATGCAAATCAACACACTGTATAATTTGAAACCAGCTAGACTAACAAACCTTATCGATAAGTCCACTAAGCCAACTTTTTTTTTGGTCATTTTCTGTTATTTTTGTAAACAGCCATATTTATTTACTAATATTATACTCCCCGAATTTTCTAAAAAAAAAGAAACAAAATTGAAAATTCGAAATAAAAACAAAAATAAGCGTTTTTTTTTTAAAAGAACAAAATATAAAACAGAACTGGTCCAAATATTAAGTTGGCGTAGTGTTCATTGGATTCATTTGAAGTATCGTTTTAATGCAGTACATACACATGTAAAGTTTAATGGTCACAGAAATATGGTTATCATTATTTAAATAGGTAGAAAACTTTCTTGCGCGTTACGTTGCAGGCTGGGTACAGTCGACATGTCGACAAATAAGAAGGCGGTGACAAGTGTGGAGACAGTGGAACGACACGTCGCGTTTGGGTTCAAAGCTTCGCTTGTAAGGACACTTGCTAATCTGTGCTGGAAGAATCAGGAGAATAAGAAACAGGTAATTGTCTCAATTGTTTAGCCATCTTAGCCATCTTAAAATTTAGAGGCAATATAATTTAATAATTACACGAAAATATAATTGAATATTTAAATAATAAAAATTGCCACGGAAATTGACGGAGAATGACCGACCGATGGCATACACATACTTGCCATCTTTGTGAAAAGATTTGCCAAGCGGCAAAGGTGGGTAGTCGCTAATTATTGCCCACGTTGTACAAGATGTACCGGAAAGACGTACCATTATACGTCGTGTGGCGAGGCCCCTTTCGTATACCCCGTTTAATGATAATTACTGTAAAATGTAATTTGAGAAACAAAAAAAGAGAAAAAAATAATGTATGACAATGGTGTTTGAATAATGTCAGAATATATTATACAAAGTCTTGTCTTTCCAGATGCGCGAATTAGAGGTGATACCAGTTCTTCTAGACTGCTGCAATATCGATGCCCGCAATCCTTGTATCCTTTGTACTAAGATTGTTACTACTTTATTTTTGGTACGGTGTTATTTTTGACTTTGGCATTAGTAAGTAAGAAATTATTCTTTAAAATTTGACTAGCTGAAGCCAGTGGCAGAATCAACGTTAAACCTATGGGACCTTTGAAAAGTGAGCGTGCAAATAGGTTTTTTTTATTATACCAAGTGACGGGACGAACAAGTCGTGCGCCTGATATTTAGCGTCACGCATGTCCATAGCAGTTGCAGTGCCATTCAGAGCCTTACCTGCCACTCTGAGACAAGTTGACAAGTCCCATGTGCTTGTAATTTCACCAGCTCACATAACTGCTTGGCGGCAGAAATAGGTAAGGTGTCAGTACTTCCCTGGGCAAGCTCTTTCTCCAGAAGCTCTGCTGCTACTAAAAATAGATCTCAGAAACCCTTTACCACCTCCAAGTACGTACCAACCTGGACGGTGTAGAACGCAGTATTTTACACGTTCGTAACAAAGTGGGTTGCAGCTGCTGCAAGCGTTTACAGCCTTTAACGCTTGAGGCACAAATTGTGCGCACTTTATATTATGTACTACAAAGATCGTGCGCAAGACCTTAATAAGCTCCTTCCGTCATTGCCCATTTACCTGCAGAGTATTTGGCATTTTATTTTATTCCAATTGTTATTCCAAATATTAGGATCAAGCGCTTCGCATCATCTGTCTAAAACACTTCACGCATCTAGAAGTATATTACCCTAACATCTTTGTAAAGTACTTCTCCGTTCAGATATGTGTTAAATTTTTTTATGTTTCGACTGTAACAAAATATATTTTCTTATAGCAACACAGTAATCATGCAATGGGTTATCTTTGCAGTTCGTTGTCTGTGTGAGAACTGTCCTGAGAATCAGGTAATTAAGGACATACATTCATTATATATAGGGTGGGAAATAAATGGGATACAAAAGGAAACTACCTAAAAAATTGATAATTTTACTCCAAAAAACCATTTTTTTCTTTTTCAAATAATAATAACTGCATTCACAGATTTTTTTTTAAAGGTTACCTGAGCTGAGGAAAATCTTTTTCCAATACACATTAGGTATCTGTCTTATCTGAAAAATAAAAGAGTTAAATTAGTTTTATTAAGCATTTAAGGTATAAGAACACTTAACTGGTTATTCACAAAAAAATAACCATTAACTAAAGGTTTCTTACCACGGTATTTCTTTGTGTTTTCCCGATCAGAACGGTTATACGTTTAAAAAAATAGAAAGAATTCATATCCTAGTACGTAACTTGTAATTAGTCGATCATTTAAGGAAGTTCTTTATGTCCCATTGATTTTTTCCACACTGTATACATAATATGTTCACATCGCACCCTCGATAATAAAGTGACATATCGTTAGGGAAATTTACAAAATACATAGATAAATAAAAAACGTACGTGGCACCAGGCATAATAGTTCATCTGGCTTGTGACAAATAATGACAAAAGTGTATTTTACATGAAAAACCATGGTTTTCATTGTTGTATTTTTTAGTTTCCCTATAATTTTACTTTTCAAATCCATTGTACTTTTGAGGGTATAATAAAATCTCCATCTTTGCTATGATCCTGAATAATTATTTAATTTCCAACATTTGCATTTTATACCACACAACAAAGAAACAAAATAATAACATTTTGTTTATAAAAGTATTCTGTATTAACTTGGCAAAATCTATTTAAATACAGATAACCTTTCTTTGTTGTTCTAACGATAGCTAATTACAAATAATATGGTCATCACGAGGCGGAGATAAATGTTATGAAACAATTTAGTATTTATTAATAATAATAATAATAATAATATTACATATTCATCCTTTTTTTCGATTATTGTGCAAACTCACGTGGTCACGAACTAACAATACAACGCTAGTTAAAAGGCTTAGTTATTATGACATTTTCCAATCCATTTTTTCCTATAGGAAGTGATATCGAAGCTAACACTGCAGGGTCCAGTGGACAATGAAGTCTTGCAAGAAATGGGGCTTACACTGAATACCGACTCACAGGGAAACAGCATCAAAATTGTACCTTTACAGCGCGCATGAAAATTATATACGATTTTAAATTGTCATTTATTTGTATTTACTATTGCAATATTATTATGTTTAAAACCTAATAAAGAGTTTAAAATTTTTATTTTTTTAATTTGAATTTTGGCCATTAGCTTCTACATTATTACCAAAAAATGTATAAATTTATAACTAATAAAAATAAATAGATTGAAACGATTATGGTTATTTATCATTTCTCTCTTAACAAGTAACAAGCACTGGAGATAAATTTTATTTAAGGAGAATTATCGTTACAAATAAAAGGAATTGGTAAATAATCTAAAAAGGTGTAAATTATATTTACTATGTCTCAGCTTTTTTAAACCAAGGTTTTGTGCTGAGTTTAAGATTAGGCCGAATTAAAGAAAATAATATTTTATTCAGCGTGAGCGGTTCTAGGCTGGGGCCTAGTGGTAAATACTGCCTGATAATAAATAATTTGTCGTTTTAGTCTTCTTCCGTCTTATAAAGGCGGCAATTTAGGTTAATGGCGGACAAGGTTTTCGATCTATAGGCACACTTATTAATTTTTCTTTAAAAAGTTTCTATTTGAACTAAAGCTATTTTTTGAACTCGATAAATCAATCATTTTGAAAGTGTTGAGATTATTGCATGGTATATTTTAAACTTACAAAGTTTAGAAAGCCGATTGAAATGAAACGTTTATTGCGTGCGCACCACTGCAAATTGTATAGCGGCGGTTGCCATTGCAATAAACAGTAATAGCACTGTTTTACCCTAAAGGATGGAAAAAAATAGTTTTACAAACTTTATGACTGGTAATAGCGTTAAGGTCTCTAGAGAGCGCATAACAGCATCGGTGGCCGTACGGTTACCATGCTGGTCTGCCATGTAGAGGCCCTAGGTTCGATTCCCGGGCCGGAAAAAAATATTTATATGACGTACATTTATTTCTCTCGTGAGTTGGGTGTAATTTGTGGTGTATGTTTTCATGGCACCTGCGACCCAGGGTTTCCTTTAATGCGGGGCTATGAATGTGTACGTTATTATTATTATTATTATTTTGTATTACCACCAACCGCCAAAGGTTATCTATACATTCGTCGCTTTAAGTTTCATTTTCGCTACGCGTTCAAAAAAGTTTGACATTGATAGCCACTTGACTTTGACAAGTTTGACAGCCCGTGTACGCGGCCGGCCACGGGTCGCATCGCATTGTTTACGTTACGCGCAGTAATACGATATTTCTAGAATTTTACTTTGAAATCTTTCTCAAAATAGCTACAAATATTGTTTGAAAATGGTTAAAATAGCTCTGCAAGTAAAGGCTACACTTGAATGCATCGAAAAATTATACACGAACCATCCTCACTACCAATGGTTCCTAAAATTGAAGTGCGGAAACTGCGGGGAAGTTTCGCAAAAGTTTCACGACCTCACAGAGGCGGATAAAGTGCCACAAAAGCATAACAGGTCAGAAACAAACCTCCTTATAAAGTGTAAGATGTGCTCGCGAGAGAATAGCGTTGATGTCATCGAGGGCAGTAATGGTAAGCCGATCGTAACCTCAACTTTAATAATCCTCGGAAATTCTGCATTTTGCCTGGTTAGATAAGGCACGATATTCATTAAAAAGCTTATATATATAACACAAACCCAACTCAACATCTCCACATTTAATATTCTTATAAAAAGCGGTAACATCTGAATCTGAACCTATAAAAAGAATGAAGCAGACTGTTTACATTTGGACGTGGCTAAACAAAAAGGATCCAATGCACTTCCAGTCACTTTCGAGATATGGCAGTTCGAAGTTTAAAAGTGTTCCTCGTTCTTGTTTTATTTTCAAAACTTATAATATGAATAAGGTTTCTGTTATGTTCTTACCTCTGTCATTTGCGAGTTCCATGCCTCACAACGGATGGTGGGCATTGGAGTCAGTAACCACGACGATATTCTGGCCGTTCTGCTCGCAGTAGTTGATTAGTTGTACCATTTCCTGCGGTGGGTGCACATCAGTGTCCACCATATAGACAGAGGCAAGCACCACTTCAGGCAGGCCCATGGCCGCGTCAGCTAAAAGCTTTATGGCACACAGGTCTCTGGAACAGAATTCTGCTAGTGGCTGTACATGTAAGTTATTAGAGTAATATATGCAAGCTCTAGGTTTATCTGAGATGGTAGTTGATAATAGCTTACTTCTCAGATGTGAGAGTCCATTTATTTGGCCACGGGCACTAATCCACGGTTCCTGGATTAGCGCCATGGCTGTGTTGTTAGCCTCCAACCACTTCCGGAGCTGAACCGTTGCGGCCTGGCTGTGGTGGTGTGAGGTTATTCTGGACATTGTGAAGTTTACTGAGCGAGGGGGAAACCGCCATCAGTAGACAGTAGCTCCTCGTCCACATCCTCGCTCAGTCGGATGTCTCCCATCCCCAACACGCACTCGTCATCATTGCTGGCCACCACCGGTTTGTCAACAGCATCCGCAGGGGTGGAGGTCAAGGAGGGCCCTTCACCTTCGCTGGGGATATCAGAGGAGGTGGAGGGCTCCGGGGAGACATCCATCCATGTTGTTGTTGTGCCCGTCTTTTCAGGTGGCACATTGGTGTACAGGTCCCTCTTGGATCTGGAACTGAGGTAGACCTTGCCCAACTGGAAGGTTATTCGCCGGCCATGCCCCAGGACAGCAGGGACGAGTTCTTCCGGGAGGTTCACCACTATGAAGGAGTGTTCACTATACTGCTGCAACTTGTGAACAACCCAGTGGTGAACCTGCGCCCACGGGTTTTGCCACTTGAGGATGCGGCCATTCAACGCGTACCCTCCCAATGGCCAGGGATGAGCAGTCCGCAGACCACCCTCCGGGGAGCCTCCGCCCCATTTTGCAATGAGAGGGTCTCTGCGGATGGCAGCCTGATGGTGCTAATGGCATCCTCTAGCCACTGGAAAGTGGCTGTGTCCTGACACCACTGTTTCAGGGACCCGTCACTGTAGACGGGTTTACCTCGAAACTGTGGACAGACGTCCTCCTCGCGGCACTCCTCCGTTCCTTGCGCGAGGCGCTGATAGGGCCTTCTGATCCATATCGGCATCGGGGCTCCGTATGTAGCCAGTTTTGGCTGATGTGATCACCGCCATGTGTTCTGGTTTGGTGGCCTCGGCGTAAGTTCGATGCTGGGCGGGCCTCTTAACTTTTTGCCGTTTGTGCTCGCCTCTAGGAGATATTGTCTCGTTAAGGCCCGTTTGGCAATGGTCGAGAACCTCTGCAATTTCTCTGCCGGTTGGCTGCCGTTCCAGAGGGGTGCGCGACCGACCTAGTTGACCTTGCTAATGTAGTCCCTGGGCCACTTGTGCCACCCACTGGGGGCCTCGCCTGTCCCTCCTTCGGCAGGGGGTTGTTTGCATTGCGACGCTCGCGTTCTCTTCGACGGCCTTTCTTATTTTTGCGGGTAGGGTGTCTCCTGCTCCCACCGGGGGCTGGAGGTGGACGCTCGCCGTGGCCACTTGCCCCTTCCTTACGGATGGTTGCTGTGGCGTCGATTTTGCCTCAAGGGCCGAGTTTGAGGGGTTCTGCAATGTGCAGAACCCGACGTGAGCGGGGGCCGCAGAACCTAGGGTTTAGGCCACTACCGCTTGCTTGGCTGACCTTGGGGTTTCCCCTTTGGCCTACCACTCACCATAGGGCGCTGTGTGTGTGTGTGTGTGTGTGTGTGTGTGTGTGTGTGTGTGTCTGTTGGTGGGGCACTTTTGGGTTTCCCCTCCAGTACAGCCGGTTTTGGGTTTTTAGACGTTTTTTGTGTATTAGTACTATGGTAGATCTTGTCCATTGTTCTGGGATAATTTCACTGTACAGTATCTCATTAAATTGGTTAGCGGTCGGAGTACTGTAGACCACCTAAGTCCTGTTCAAGATAGTTTTAAATAATTTTTAAAATTGATATCCAATGATTTTTTTTTTCAGGTGCGTACACAAATGAGGATGTTGGCAAGTTCAAGACTTTGGTTATATTCGATTGCAGAGGAGTTGAACCTGTTGACTTTGAACCTCAATCAGGCTGGATAGCTGAAGCTGAAGATAATGGTCTGTATCTATATCCAAATGTGTCAGACAACTACAATTCTTAAAAAAAAATGTTCACAAATTAATTTCCAAGAGTAGCGGTAAGAGTCGGTGCATTTAATTTTCTACCTAGAATCAAACTTGTCTACGTCGGTCATAGTCTGGGTTTTCTGTTAATTTGGTATTTGTGGTATTTATAGTACAGAGAATTTTGTAGTTTGAGCCAGGTAGTAAATGTGGTTGTCTCGCACAGTTACATTATTTTACTTACAAAATAAAAAAAATATTAAGTAGAAAACTTGTGCTTAAACATTAATTCATTTGGCTGTTAAATTTATTAAAAAATTTTGCTTTTTAAAATCTAATTTTTCTTTCGCAATATCTTAAAATCTGACCCCTCATGGAAGAATGGCATAAGTGGAGTTACGTCAAACATGCTTAATGCTCCATTAGATACAGAAAACTGTAATCCACATCCTCTCCAGTACTTGTAACTCTATCTACAATATTATAATATAATACAACATTACAAGAGTTGGAGAGGATGTGGGTTATATTTTTCTGTGTCTAATGCAGCATTAAACGTTTTTCATGTAACTCCACTTATGCAATTCTTCCATTGTAGAAATAGTAACTCATAATTTTGTTAAAATTTATGCTATTATATCAAAACTTATCATCTTATTTAAGTGGCTCTTGTCGGTGTAGACTTCACCATATCTTACAATTTATAGTCAGTTCTTCAACTACTTAATAGTTACTCATTTTGACATGACTCACTTTTATTTGTTCATTGCATTTTTCTATTTTCTACTCCTTCTCTTTCTTTCTAATAAATTCATACAATTCAAAACTCCTATTATAATTAAAAAAAAATTGTAATTGATATAAAAAATATGGATTTCAATTTTTCATAACTATAGGTCAATGGCTATAGGTCACATTATTTTGTAATATTGTGTTTTTTGGTATGTATGTATTTGCCTATTCTCACTAAAAAAATAACAAATTTTAATTGCTATCTTTTCTTGTTGACAGGTAAAAAGTTTACAGAAGTAGACTTGACAGAAAAGGAATGGGTTGATTATGACGAGAAAAATCAGACATCAGTTGGAGTTTATGAACTAGAATGGCAGTTTATTAAAGTTAAATAAGTTACACTTATCTGAATTTTATTTTAAAAATCTCTTATGAGAATTCTCCATTATTGCAAATATCCCAACTTCAATTCCAGTGTTTCCCGTTGGTCAGATTGATGGTCAGACTGGTCTGGTCAGTGGGATTTTTTTTCCAATTGTCCAGATTGATTTGACAGCTGGCGATTCGTCAGGATGACATAGAAATATGTATAATCAGGCGCAAAACACATTTGTATTTTATTATTTACTCACTTTTTAAATTCATAATAAAAGTCAAATTCATCATAGTACATGAGAGAGAGTCATGCCAAAAGAAATTAGATTTTCAAAAATTATAAAATTTATTCTTTAGTACATGCATTGACTTACAAAGTCAATGATTACAGGTATCGATTTTTTCAAACTATTCACCATGAACACGTATACACTTTTCCATTCGTTTAAACCACTTGGAAAATATCGATGACCACTCTTCTTTAGACATCTCCGAAATCTCTTTCTTTCTTTGCTTTCAAACCGCCTGCTTTTTAATTTTTCTTTAATTTTTGGAAAGAGGTGAAAATCATAAGGGGAATATGGCGGGTGAGGCAGGATAGATATAAATTTAAAATAAATAGAAAGTTTTGCCATCTCCTGAATAATCACTCTTTATGAGATAGGAGTTTGAGGCATCGATATGTAGAACTACATATCGATGCCTCAAATCGATCGATGTCGGTTTTCACGAATTACTTTTTCGACAGCTTGAAAGTTTTCTTGAGTAACCGCGGTTGGCGGCCGAACTGACTTCGCCACATCTTCAAAGCTTCTCCGTCCTCTTTTAAATTCAGCGAATCAATTGAAAACTGTAGCTCGTGAACAAGCAGTATCACCAAAAGTTGTGGCTAAAAGTTTAAAACATTCTTGCGGATTTAAACCTTTTTTGTAGTCATAATAAATCGTACCACGAAAATCACTCCGCTCCACTGCTCCATTGTTGCGAGCAAAATTCCCGCCAGATTGTCCCCGAAAAATAAAAAAGAATTCGGTTTAAGACGTGTTCCATTTTGAAATTTATTAGCAAATAACCTGCCATTACGGCGGTGTATAACTTGCCAGTATCAACCAAGTTATTAAAGAGTATCGATTTCCAGAACTCTACTCAATGCTCAAGTTAGGACTTGAGTATGATTTAAAGCACTAGAAATCATACTCAAGTCCTTGCCATTAGGGTCGTATTTCCAGTGCTTGAAATTATACTCCCTCATAATCATAAGTCCTGACTTGAGCATTGAGTACAGTTCTGGAATACGCCCCTAAGTTATTTTGGCATGATTGTATAATATAATAATAATAATAATCTATTTTTAAGCAACAATCCCATACGATACGACGTAACACAACAAGAATGATAATGAACTGGAATGAATTTTATAAGATTAAAATGAAATAATAAGATAATTGTATCACGCGCACACTGTGATCTTAGATTGATTATATTAGATCAAACTTAGATTAGATCAAACTTAGATTGAACCATTATCTTACTGGGCTACCACCACTTTTGTGTGTGTGTGCACTGATGCCACATGGCGAATTTGCAAATGCAATGCTCCAAGTTTTAGTAGTAGTTGTAACACAATTGTAGAAAGTGCACTCTTGTGTGCACATATCACTTTATTCAATTCAAAACTTACACAATTGACTAATATGTCAGCCTACCCCGACGGGGAAAAGGCGTGTAGTTTATGTCTGTATGTAATGGAAAACACACTGGAATGGGGAAAATCGGCTTTTTAGACATTTGGGTCGAAGAAGTACTTTAATTTTAAGGTTCAATTTACATTGCGGCGGAACGGAATGGAAGCGAGTTTTTGTAACGATGTTGTATGCCACATACATACGTACGTACATAGCATAATGAAGTTTATGGCAATTGTGTAACAACTAGATACGACCCAAAATCACATCAGGCGTCTTCCGCGGTATTCTCGCACATGCTCGGGAATGCTGGTGCATTAGCGAGAATTCCGCAGCTGCCGTCCGCCTCTATGTGACCAGAGCGCTAAGACATTAAAAAATCGTATTTAGTACATCCACTAGGAGATGAAGTACCTTTCATTTCCTAGGGGATGATTTAGGTAGGCTTTTCGCTAGAAACGCTCGTAAAAAAAACTGTCAAACAAAAAAAATCTATCATGTAGAATTAAAGAAAGTATCTATTTATTAAAGTTAAAAGAAATACATCTCATACAAAATACAGTCTCGAAAGGAGTATTTAATTCGGCGCTTCGAGGTGACATTCTGTGATATTTCAGCTATTTAGTTCCTTAAAAAAACTTAACTTAGCTTAAAAATAAGATATACGTAAAGCCATATTCTCGGATAGGAAGGATTTCATTTGGAGGGTTGTTTCTTAAATTTTTTTGCATATTATTTTTATAAAGAAAGCGACAACCAAGGTGGTTTAATTTTATAGTAGTTTAAAAAAAAAAGAACACATTTTTACACATTTTAACACATTTATATAAATATGATACTAAAATTATACAAATATGAGCTTTTATCTAAACAATATGTACACACGCCCGCACATCAAGCTACACATTGTCGTATCTTGTTCCGTTGCACTGGAGGCGATTTTCGAACAAAAATGTGTAGTCTGATGTGCCGTTGTCCGTACATTAAAATGTGAATATTCCCAATGACATATTTTGGTTTTTAAGTTTGTCCACTGTACTAAAGCCCTTCTGGTTCTTCGAGCTAGATAATACAATTTTTTGTGTAGATATTATGTTCTTCCATACATGGTGCTGGTTTTTCATTCGAGGAAAGCGAGGAGAATGGCGCTACGCGATGTTCCTGCACGATTTCGCACTCAACTCAACTGTGACAGCGTGTAACGCATCGAAAGTGAAAACTACTTCCCATTCCGTGATCTTTGTTAATTGTTTATATCCGCTTATAATAGTTTTCACCTATATTTAAGTAACTAACATGCCGTCCAGAATTGGACATGTAACTAATACTTTTACTTAACATGTTCCTAAAATATATAAAGTATGAAAACGTTCAAAATGTTAAAAGAAATTTGTGAAATATTTAAAGACCGTGTAGACTCGCCGCACCATCACGCTCTCTGTTTCTGATTTCGACAGTTTGTATCACTCTAGCCCATAGTTTCGTGGGCGCTAGAGCCCTAAGAGCCCTAGCGCGGTAGGGGCCTCGGAAGCAATTGGGGGGCGTTGATGCTGTCCAGGGGGTACTACCGCATTTGAAAAAATAACCCGAATTATCTATGTGAACTATACTACACAAATATATTTTCTTCCTTATGATCTTGGTACTTGGTGTAACGGGCTGGTGTCCGCAACTCGACGTCAAGGCGCCGGTCGAGGTAAGTAGGTACGCCGCAGGGTCCTACTCGTACCACCCAAGCTCCTCCAGAAATCTCAACAGTCTTCTCGGTTTGCTGAAGACTTCTGCGAAGCTCTTGCCGCTTGAGTTTGATTAATATTCGATATAGACTGGCGTTGAGCGTTGGGAGTGCTTCCCTTGCCTGTCTACAAACCGTAAGTGCGGTCCATGTGTTGTTATGTGAAAATTTTGTACCTTTGTGTATAGTTGTTCTGATTTTTTTTTCCTCATGATTTTTCGTGTTATGTTAATATAAAAAATACGTGTTTTCAATTAATTTTTGTGGTAATGGCGAAATTTTTTTTATCTCGTTTAAGTGGGCGGTGAGCCAAAAAAAAGAGTTTGGGAATCTATTAAAATTAAAAATTTATTTATTTCTCAATAGTGTTCAACAATGGTAGATCAGGTTCTCCCTTTAATCAAATGTATGCTTGTGTTGGGAAAGCCTTGCAACTAAGCTTAAAACTGAGAATTTACAACAAAGTTACATCAGTGGGTTAGTTTTAAGATAGAATGATATTTAAAATGGAAAAATTAAAAATCTATGCCTTAAATAAAATGTTTTACGTATTTAATTAAATGTTGAGTTCTTAAAACTAGAATGAAAAGTGGATTTTTGAAAGTGCTCTTATCCTGATCATGATTGTACCCATAGGAGCACTATATATGTACTTTTTCTAAATCCATTTCATCATTAATTAAAGTATTTATCGTAACTACAATGGAAATAGTTCTATTGTTATACAAAAATTAGTGGTTACACGCTGTCTATGAGTACAAAACAGATATTTTAATTATCGTAGGTGAACGACATGCAACAATCATGTACGGTATAATTTTGCACTTGCACTTGGTTGAACTTGATTGCTTGCTCTCTCATTGGGCGTAAAATTATAAGTGTCGCAAATTACTGTGTGAGCGTAATCTGTTCTGCATCACTTGCTGCCGTGTAGATTAACGACAAATGTATTTTTGGGATTCTTAAGTCTTTCATATTATTCTTACATATATCCCTTTATGTGCTGTAGGATTTTTAAATTATTAGTAGATATATATTTCTACGACTTGATAAACATCTCTCTCCTTTATTATAAAAAAAAGTCTGAGAAGGATGTAGGCACTTCAGACAGAGTCTCACAGAGAGCAGTATAATACAATTTTAATGTTCAGTACCTACTGCCTGCCACCTTACCTATTTCTGCCGTCAAGCAGTAATGTTAGCATTACTTCGTTCCGGTTTTTAAGTGTTAAAGGACTTGTCAACTTATGTCTCAAGGTGACGGGCGCAGTGGCAGTGCCCCTCAGATCTTTGCGATTTAAAGCTCTGCGTGGCACAACAATTGTTATGGACAGGCGTGTAGATTACCCCGCCACTTGATGTTACAAAAAAATTACGTAAACGTATAAATAAAATTGAAATTGTAAATAAGTTGTAACAAATAATAAGACAAAAAGTATCACAGCATCATTCATTTACTCTCGTTCCACAATTATAGTACTTTTAGTACAGTAAACACAAACACGCGACAATAATTTAGTTAGACTTAACGATTATCTATCATAATTACATAAAGATTGTCTATTTAATACAGATATTACGGTAAATAATTGAATATGTACATAATTAAAGATTGTAGAATCAAGTTTTTATCAAGGTTCTATGTCAACATGGTCGACATTTCGGTGTTTATCCTACCGGGTGCTTCCGTACCTGACATACTGATAGGTTCATACCGTTGCGTTATCCTATTATCTTTACTTAAATCTTTGAATGTTGTTTCAGAGTTAGTCGTAGCCGCATTTGAAACTATAGTAGTAATTTCAGTGTTTTCAGTTAAACTGTTCGTGCTCAACGGTATGATAGTTCTCGCTTCCGAATAAGGCTGTGTCGTTTCTTCAACAAAATCGGATCGAGACTGGAATCCATTGAACTTTGTATTCCCGCGTGTACTTCCGTGAACAGTCACTGTGTGATGCGGACTGGACGCCACCGTGTTGCCATGGTAGGTCACCGTGTGTTGTGGGACTTCCGTCGCCGTATTCCCGTGTACTGACCCTGCACTTCCGTGTATTGGTACTGTGTTAGCTGGTGTATTAGTTACTGTGTTGCCATTAACAGAGTAAGCGTAATAGGAGTGTTGTCCCGGAGTGGTGGTTATTCTTGGTGAATTTGTCACTGTGTTGCCATTCACAGTGTAAGCGTAATGTGATTGTTGTCTGGTGGTGGTTATTCTTGGTGAATTTGACAAAGTGTTGCCATTCACATTGTAAGCGTAATGCGATTGTTGCCTCGGAGTGGTGGTTATTTCTTGTAAATTTGTATCTGTGTTGCTATTCACGTTGTAAGCATAATGCGATTGTTGCCTCGGAGTGGTAGTTACATCTTCGTCGTTAACAGTCACGTGGCTAGTAACAACGCGCTCGTCATAGTTATCAATGGGATTCGTATGTATGAGAATAGGAATGCCAACTGGAACCCTAAAAGGTATTCTAACAGGGTATGGAATTTTCACTGGCACGGGTACTTTCTTTTCGACAGGGAAAGGTTTTGGTATATAAACTGGCACTTTCTTCTCCACTTCCACTTTGTGAGGTACTGGTACTTTAAAGGGTACAGGTAATGGTATTTTCTTTTCAACCTCCACTGGGTACGGTACCTTTTTTTCTACTGGAAAAGGTATTGGCTGAGGCACTTTGACAGGGTACGGCTGCGGGTAAGGTACATTAACAGGTACATGCTTTATCACTTCAACTTGTTCTTTGACAGGCACTTGTACAGGATATGGTACCCTAGTCTCGACAGGAATTGGCTGCGGCACAAGTACCTTGACGGGAACTGGGTATGGTACTCTCTTTTCGACGGGCACAGCGACCGGAAAAGGTCTGGGCACTGCTACTTCCACTTTATATGGGACTGGCACTCGTTTCTCAACCTCTACTGGTACGGGCTGCGGAACTTTCACTGGGACATGTTTCACAACTGGCACTTGCTGGAACACAGGGTACGGCTTCGGAACGTATTCCTTTTCGACAACTTTCACAGGTATAGGGTGAGGAACTTGAACTGGCACCGGATAGGGCACCTTATGCTCCACTTTTACGGGCATTGGTACTGGCACAGGAACGGGCACGGGCTTGGGCACCTCCACGCGGACGGGCTTGTCGACTGTTTTGACGTATCTGTGGTGGTGGTGATGGTGATGATGCTTGATTCGTGTGACGATTTTCGATGGGTGACTCGCGCTGCTCTGGTAGTCTCCGATAACTTGCGACGTGTGTAGGACCGGTTTACCTCTGGAACCAGAATACACATGTGGCTTCAGTTTCTTTGCTTTTCCGACGAATATTATATTTTTTCTTGCATACGAAGAGGGTGTGGGAGAGCTCTCATATTTTTGCGGTTTTGCTACTGGAAGTAGACCGAAAGATTGCAAATAATAGACTCGTTTGTTCGCGGCAAAATTTTCGCTTGGTTCATAAAATGAAACATCTGATCGCCTTTGCATGACATTCTTGCGTCTATGTATAGGAATCAGTTTGGATTTCCTTACTTTTTTTACCGTGAAATGTGATGGTACGATGGGCACCCAGTCGTTAGGTGCAAAAGTGCTGTAATTTGATGGTGCTGGAGTGCTGGAAGTCCTTCTTTTGGAGACTCTGGTTACTCTTTGGTATCTACGGGTTGTAGGCTCTAGCGTCGTCGTCAAGGTGTATTCGGGTTTATTGACGTAGTTGAATCTTTGGTTGCTCGATGACGCTTGAAGTTCCCCTTTGGTGCTGTTACCTGACTGGGTGCTGTTTCCGGCTGTTTTATTAACCGCGTTCATCTTTTCTAGTATCCGTTTGGGCCATATTCTTTTAGTTCTTAAGTGCTTTGTAGCCGTAGTTGTAGAGGCTGTTGTTGTAGTAGTTGTAGTAGTGATAGCTACTGTTGAATTGGCGAAGTGCGGTGGCCGCACAAAATCAGCGCGGATACCGTTAATAGTTTCTACAGGAAGGCTGAATTTTGGACTTTTGGGTACATGTTGTGGTTTAATCGTCGATGCGGCAAAAATAAGAGGTTGTTTGTTATTGTAAAAGGGATTTCTGCTGGGTTGCAGAGGTATCACTTTGTGGTACTTATACGCTGTGGATGGTTGTTGTTGTAGTTTAAGCGGTTTTTGGTAATGGTGTCGTAACGGGGGCAGATTTTGTATTTGACCATAGTAGACTCGTGGCGGTTCAACGTATTTCTGTTTTCCATGCTTATCACGATTGTGGTTTATAGGAGGTTTGTTCGGTGGCCTCTGTTCAGGTTTGTACGTGTGGTTGGATGCCGTTGGCGGGGTCGGCTTCGGAGTCGAAGGCGCTACGTACTTGGGGCCATCAATGATGGTCACGGCACGGTTCTTCGACTCCTGTGCTACTTGATCTGTCTGATCGTAGTTGAAGAACTCTGCCGTCGCTCCATCTTGAATGACGACGATCACTAACGCAAAGATCAGGAATGCCGTCTGGAAAGAAACGAATCTTCATTTAGGAGAGGTTTGATACAAAAAAATACATTGATAGGTAAATAGCTACCACAATTACTGGTGCAAAGGTGTTTATAAATACGTACAGGCCTAAGAGCTGTTCACACGGCGGCTTTTAGTAGCGATGCAAACGCGATGCAAATGCGATGCAGTCGCTAATCGTCTACCTTTACCACAAATGCACGACTGTAAGCAGCGACGCAAACGCGCGACTGCGTCGATACAATGCGCAACTGCATCGATGCAATGACCTTAATCCCAAGTGTAGCGACGCAATCGCGCGTTTATATCGATGCAGTCGCGAGTTTGCATCGATGCAATCGCCTATAGGTACAGTCAAAAGCACGGCAAGCTTGACACTTTGTACTTTGGGCAGTTCTTATTGCAAGCGGCATAGAGTTTGATTTAAATCTTAAGTGTCAAGCTTGAGTTGCTCTTGATCCTGTACATCGCAAATGTAGCGATGCAATCGCGCGTTTTACGAATGCGCGTTTGCATCGCCGCTAAAAGTTACCGCGAGTGACCACTCTAAGTGAGTCATCGTATTTCTGCTCCAATATTTGTGGTGTTTCATTGGAAGAGCTACCCGTCCAAAATGTTAACAATGCAAGAATTATTTTTTTTTACTTAAGTATCAATGAACAACAAAAAGAGTCAGTGAGTAACAATCAGTTACCCGGCGTGGTTAGGTTTATAAATATTTCATTCTCGTTTTACAATTCAATAGGCAGAAATAGGTGCGTGTTGAAAAAGAACGCAAAGTTAACAAACACGCGACAGCGCCTTAGCTCTTCCGTATCCGTAGTAATGTAGACGTGACGGAGTGCGTTACGTTCTTTATAGGGATATCAAGATATTTAAGTACTAGTGTTTTTCATTGACTGTCTGGTCAACAACATTATTAGGCATGAAATCAATGACATTGTGAAGACAACATTTAAAATTTATCGTAAATACAATAGGAACGTTTTAATTAATTTTAATCTATTGCTATGCTATTACTATTTTTTATATATGATTTTTCTATGCTTCTTATCTCTAATGATTCGACTGAAAGATTTGAATCCATTGTCATGAAATAAAGCCAGAGTTTCATTTGTCTGGCGTGTCGTGCCACGCCACGCGTCACAATGCGTCAGAACGGTATCGGTTTCGTACACACAGCACAAGCCGTCACGTCAGTTTGCGGCACACTAATATAAATCGAACCATATTAAATAGATGAAACCGATACCGTTCTGATGAGTCACGACACGACACGTCAGACAAATGTGAATCCGGCTTTAATTAAAGAAAAGTTGTCTGTCTAATCCTCAGCATTTCTCTTAGCCTAAACCTTGAAATTTTGTTATTGTAGCTTATAATTAAGATTTTTAAAATGGTCACCGTAAAGACGTAACGATTTCTCGCGAAAAAATGTCAGAAAATTTAACTATTGAAGAAAAACTATATAAACTATAACCAACCAGTCCCGAAGGACGAAAAAAATTAAAAAAATCGTTTATAATTAAACTACCAAAATGTTAATGTCAAGAGTGGAAGAAGAGGGAAGAGGATTTAGAGGAGAGGATTTTAGGACAACATTGGATCAAAAAAATGCCGCCGTAATGATGAAGATTTTTTTTAAATTATTTGT